GTAGTTACTTGACCACATTCATTATAACTCATATAAACATATATGCATTTTTTGTCAGTACATCACTCAGGGGTGGGGAAACCCCGAAACCAGTATTGGTCGAGATAGAGGTGGTCATGGCTGTTCGGATAATTGAAGCCTATCATGTAGCGCGTCCGAGAGATGAGGATGCGACGAATGCATGTACTGGCCCCACCCCTGAGTACATCACTCAGCGGTGGGGCCAGGCGACGAATGAGTGAATTTGGACCAGTATTGGCCGAGATAGAGGTGGTCATGGCTGTTGGGATAATTGACGCCTATCATGTAGCGCGTCCGAGACATAACAAGGCGACGAATGCATGTACGGTACTGGCCCCACCTCTGAGTACATCACTCAGCGGTGGGGCCAGGCAAAGAATGAGTGAATTTGGACCAGTATTGGCCGAGATTGAGGTGGTCATGGCTGTTCGGATAATTGACGCCTGTCATGTAGCGCATCCGAGAGATGACGAGGCCACGAATGCATGTACGGTACTGGTCCCACCTCTGAGTACGTCGAAGAATGAGTGAATTTGGACCAGTATTGGCCGAGATAGAGGTGGTCATGGCTGTTGGGATAATTGACGCCTATCATGTAGCGCGTCCGAGACATAACAAGGCGACGAATGCATGTACTGGCCCCACCCCAGTACATGCATTCATTATAATTCATACTTCCTCTGTTTCATAATACTGACACCATTTCGATTGCCGGTGACCCCAAAAATTCATTTTTCAGCCAAATTCGATGTGTAATATCGCAATCGACAGAGAATCAAAAACTAGAGGTAACATTCATTGGAAGCTAAGAGCCAAAGCAACGAATTGGTGGTCAAAATCGACGACGACTGGCCTCCACTGGATCAATAAAATTAAAATATGTTTGAAATTAAAATAATCTGGGGCCTGTGGCTCAATTTCGAATTTCCCGCCATGAGCACACCCCCGCGATCTTCCCGTGAACTGACAGAAGTGACGAAGCTTGACCTCTCCATCGCTCTTCAAGAGCTGGCTCGGTTGGGCAAGCTACCGCGCGGCACCATCAACATGGTCGCGACGCGCTTCGGCATTGACCGCTCCACTGTACGGAAGGTTTGGCAATGCTACCAACAAGGGTCCATGAAGTCGCGCAAAAAAGGACGCGTGGGTCGCAAACACCGGCACAAGATCCAAGACATCATTGCGAAGATCCGGGAAGTGCCGCAAGGTCAACGCACGACAATGCGAGACCTGTCCTTGGCAACGGGCCTGTCAATCAGCACGCTCAGACGGGCCTTGCACAAGGGCACCGTGACGCGCCGATCTTCACGCTTGAAGCCCCTATTGACCGATCCAACAAGAATCAACGTATGGGCTTTTGCAGTTCTCACGCTGTGCTTACCGAGGACAACGTCGCTGCGTATCGAGCCACGGTCACCGAAAGCGTCGCACCTGTTGATGACCCCACCACCGACGCCTTCGGCGACGGTGGCACAAACGTCGGCGCAGCCGACGTCCAAGCCGGCTTCGCCAGCTTGGAGTACCGCCGGGGCCGGTACTCTGCCTGAAATCGAGTTTTCGGGCATGTGGGACGTGGTGCACCTGGACGAAAAGTGGTTCAATGCTGAGAAGGACTGCAGGAAGGTCTACCTTGTCGACGGCGAAGAAGTGCTCAGGCGTACGTGCTAGTTCAAGCGGTTCATTCCAAAGGTTATATTTTATCTGTGCCTTCGGTCGACCACGCCAGGCGGATGGCTTCGACGGGAAGATTGGCATCTGGCCGTTTGTGTCCAAGACTCCCGCCGTCCAGAACTCTAGAAACCGACCTGCTGGAACCATGGTGACGACGCTTGTCAACGTGGACGGTGCCACGTACCGTGATTACGTTCTCAACAAGTTCGTGCCAGCTATCAAGGAGAAGTTTCCAAGCGTGAGCAAACGAGTCGTGCTTCAACATGACAATTTTACCCCCCACAGCACGATCGACGACGCAGCGCTCGCCCAGGTCTCGACTGATGGATGGACGTTTGTTGTACGTCGGCAGCCGCCGAACAGTCCCTACTTGAACGTTCTTGACCTTGGCTTCTTCGCTTCAATCCAGTCTCTACAGTACAAGGTGGTCAGCCGCTCTGTTGATGATGTCATTGCGTCGACATTGATGGCATTCGGCATGCTCAACGATGAGAAGCTTGCCAATGTTTTTCTTACCTTGCAGGCTGTCATGCGTCTTGTGCTTGAGCACCGTGGGGGTAACCATTTCAAACTCCCGCATCTGCACAAGGACGCGATGAGACGTGCTGGCACCCTGATGTTGAATGTCACCTGCCCTGTGTCGCTTCTCGTTGCGGCCAACATGCTCCAGCAGTAGTTGCTTTTTGAATAATAGCCAATAACATGCATTATTGGTATCATCAGCCAATCATAGAGAAATGGTGGCAGTAATATGAAAAAAGTGAATTTCGAAATGGTGTCAGTATTATGAAACAGAGGAAGTATA